ACGGCAGAGCAATGGGATTGGACAAACAGTTTGTTCTGAGCACTGGTACAGACTTGAGTAGCCGAGTGACTTCCTTTTACCCTATAAATTTCTATGAATCTCTGAAATCTTATCAAAGACAAACCATCCAGCAACGGTTCCTGAAAAGAGATTGTAAAACTACTCTGTCTAGTTTTACCCTCATTAAACAAGAAGCAACATGGCCAATTTTAGTATCTTAACTGAAGCCCCAGGCCCTTGGCTGTCAGGAGAAGCTATTATCAGATAACTTTTAATTCCAGATTCTTCCACTTTTATTCATACTGAGTTCCGTAAAAGCATCACGTGCTACACAAGTTTTTGCACAGCAGTTATCAGACAAATTAGCTATGTATGAAGGGAAACCGACGTAAATTCATGTAAGTACGTAACACTTCTGCACACATACCAATGGAAGTACTGGCCGAAGCTTTGCTTCATTATTTTGGAACTTGTTCCCTTAGCGCCTTGCTGAGGTACTGCGTTAACATGTTGTTGACTGGTAATGGATCACATTATTTATAGGAACATAAAAGATCAATAGCAGGAGAAGGCCATCAACTCATCGAGCTTGTTCCACCAGTTTTTTAGATCTTCGCAGATCTTTTAATCACAATGCATTTAACTGTATTTTTGTATTAATCTCGGGCTGTGTGATTGATCACGTGCAGATGTAAATTACATCTGGGCAAATATGTGAACAGAGTAATGCTTTGGGATGTGCGGGTAGAAGAATTCTTTACAGACACAAGAAACTATAGATTGCAACCATTTCACTTGACAGTATACAATTGATAGTGCACATCTTGTAGCATTGTGTACCAGCAGAAGTGCTTAACCTTGCATCAATACCACTTAGACTTTAAGTACATTCCATAATCGTATTCATTGATCCCTGTGAGGGTCAGAAATTTTGACAGTATCTAGCAGTAAGTAGGAACCCAGTTGTTAGTCAATTGGTGGATTGCTTTCCGGTGGTAATAATCCCTTCTAGACAGACAGACAGACAACTAACTAACTAACTAACTAACTAACTAACTAACTAACTAACTAACTAACTAACTAACTAACTAACTAACTAACTAACTAACTAACTAACTAACTAACTACCTAACTAACTAACTAACTAACTAACTAACTAACATCTGAAGGCCAGCACCTCCAACAATACAGTACACTCCCAATAGTGCACTGGAGGAGGGTCAGTCTATACTATTTGAGTTCAAAGTCCCAACATGGGGCTTGAACCTAAAATCCTCTGACTCAAAGGCCAGCGTGCTACCAACTAAGCCGGGCTGAAACACATTGTGTGGCAACCATTTCCCTTGATATACACACAGCTTTTTGTTCAGCTTTGCTCAAACAGTCCCCGGCCCAATTCCAAAATAGGTAAATGTCAAACTTTCTTCAGCAAACTTCAGCTGAGTACAAAAGGAAAACTGCCACAACTAGGCAACCAAACAAGCCCTTGCTGTGAACCATTGCAAAGGAGTGACCGAATAGTTTGTTAACTTGCCAAAGCACTAAAATTTAAAGAGATCCCACGCAGAGAACCATAGTCTTGCGAGAATTAATTCTTTACTTACAAAATCAAACTGTGATGCTCTCCCGTATTCAAGTGAACTTGGCTACAATAAAGTATTGGTTTGTTTTACGCTCAAATCATTACTGGGATTTATAATAGGGTCAAGTAAATGCAACACATATTTTGCCTGGTTCCCACACACCATTTCAAGCAGTTCTTTTTCCAGACTAAAACTCTAATTTCAACCATCTTATCTACAATTATATTGAAGGAAAAAGACCAGTGATTTAAATTTTAATGTTGCTTTAGATGGCAATAGATAGGGAACTGTAACTGCAGCAAACTAGAGAGAGAAGGAACTTTATCGATTCCTGACTAGGAACATCTTACACTTGACTTCTATCTCCATCCCGTGTAACTCATTTCAGTTTCTAAGCCCTTCAAGAACTCATTGTGAACTTATGGTAGTATAAGTTGGCCTAAAATTATTACTTACAATCCTTTTCAGTTCCTGTAGCATGCATCAATTATTAATTATCAATACTGGGAGGCCAGCAAAATATTGTCCTGAAGAGAAAAATTGCATTAAATGTAAGGCACATTATTTTTTTCACATCCTAAAATGTCTCTCACATGCTAATAAATTAAATGAACTGTTTCACAATAGCAGCTCAATCTGACTAGCAGAATGTGCAATTCTGTCCATTAATAATAGAGGCATGAAGCTCTTTTGCTTTCTTGATTTCAGACAGGATCGATGCTTGTGTATACAAGAAGGGGAAACTTGCTTGAGCTGTTGTTTCTTGGTTACAAGACATTTGGGAGAATTTCCGTCTGGGTCTAGATTTATTCTATTTTCTTAGCATTTCAGGGCATCCAGAATTTGGCTAAATACGGGCTTAATTATGAAACCTCGAAAGTTTTCTAAATAAAAAAATGACTAAATTGGTCATTCACCTCCTGGCTGTTTGTTGGACATTACTCGGCTACTTTCATCTGCAAACTCACAGCAATTACGGCGAAGTGCTTTGCGACGTTTCAATGTAATAGACGCTGTATTATGTGCAAGGATTAATATTATTTTTATTAATAAAAAAATGGGAATGGCTGGCTGCCTAAACTAATCAGAGCTGGGACTCAGAGGACATAAACTGATTCTGAAGCATTATTAGTAGCTACCCTGTAGCCTGAACAATACACTATTTAATATTCAACAAATGCAAAACATTATTCAGTTGAAATCAAATATCAACCATGCAAGCAATTTGCAGTCGCAAACATGGTTTTAACTGCAGATGTATCATGGATAACATTTCATAGATACTGCAGTTCGTTCTCTTTAACAGCCACCGGCAGACATAATTGTGTGAGAAATATATATTATTTAAAAAAATAATAATCTGATGATCCATTGCAGATCAGAGTTTAGTGGTTCTTTGGATCAGACTGCTTACCTTTAACATCAATTGTGTCATAAGATTGCAAAATATTCACAGGAAATGTATTTTAAATGATCTAAACAAGTAACTTTATTTGTAGAACTGAATAATTGTGCTTGGGCGATTTTTAGTTTTTTTTAATACTTTTTATTAAAGTTGTTAGCCAATTTTCTTCATTGCTAGAAAATACTCACACTTTTTATGGAAAGTTTTTGAAGAGTGTTATGTGTTATGTTCAGTTTAATGGTTGCAATTTGGAAATGTGTTACACAGTGTTGAATGAACACTCCTCACCGACTATACCATCCAATACTGTGATAAATTCAGTCCCCTGAAGTCTTGTTCAGCTCAGGCACCTTTGAGGACAATAATAACACTACAGGATTGAGTACTTTCTCACATAGAAGTCACAGTTCCATTCTAATTCCGAGGCTTTTTATGAAGATTATGAAGACTGAATTGTTTGGTGTTCTTTCCACTGAATTTCATTTAACAGAGTCCACAGACATTCACAGACATGGTAGGTTTCAAAGTGTGCCTTTGATACTTGAATGAAAAAGAATAATCATTACAGGTAGAGGTGTTGTTACTTCAGCTCTTTTCAAGTGGGGTTTGGGGAGATTCTTAAATTCAGTTTCAGATTTAAAATATGATAGTGTTTTTGCTATAATCAATATTAGGATTACAGAAAGATATCTGTTAGGGTATAAGTGGAATATTTTTTCCCAGCAGTTTCCTCTCATACCATTGTTTAAATAAATAGAGCTTAACTGTTTTTAACTGTTCTATTCCTCTCTGCCTTCCAGTCCACTGTGAAGGTGGTCCTATCCATTGAAGGCTGCTTTGAATGCCTATAAACACACATTGCATTTTACAGTCAAATCTTGTGAAGTGCTTTGAGATGTCTCAATGATGTGATAAGGTGTTATATCAAATTAAAGTATTATTTATTATATAAATGTGAGTGTCACAGAACCAGGGTCTGATTTAGAATTAATTTGTATGACAATTATCATTTGTAGTTATGTTCTCTCATTTTCAATAGACCATCTCAATTATGAAAAGTTATGCAACAGACCATGCTGAGGCATGCAATTCCACCTAGTCTGAACATTTGCCCACAAAATACACAGTCAATCCACTTTACAGTGTATTCCATAAAACACTTTGAGAAATCTCGATAGGGTGATAAGGTGCCATATTAAACACAAGGACTATATTATCATTATAACTGCAAGACTATTTGTGTGGGAAGAGAAGAGCTAAGGATACACAAAAAAAGTAAAAGAAACAAATTTATTTTTAAACCTTGCAAAGCATTTAATGTAACTACATAATTTGTTATTGTACTAAAAATCACAATTATGGATAATGTAAAAGATTTAATTATTATTGCAAAACATTAGGTGAATCAATTCCATGCAAATAATCAGCTAAGAAGAAGAATTTATGCAAATCTCAGGGATTATAAAGAACCATTGGAAGTTAGTTTAACACTTGGCTTTAAGTTAGAGTCGTTCGTAAATATGGGCTTGATTTTCCTTAAATGTTAAATCACCGATGTTGGTTTGAAGTTGCCTTAAACTTATTATGTGTTAGTCTGGCTTAGTAGGTAACACTCTTGAGTCTCTGGGTTCAAGCCTTATTTCAGCAGCTCATGGTTGAGGGTAATACTACAATACAATACCAGGTGAATACCTCAATGTCGGAAGTTCCATATTTTGGATGTGATGTTAAACTGAGGTTAGAGTGTAAAGATCAAGAGACTGCATTCGATTCCATAACTACCCTAAGTGTAAACGAGGCAGAAAGATACATAAAATATATATAATGGCAATTATAATTTACCATCTTGTATTCGAGAAAATACGAAGGAAGAGAAAATACAAAGGGAGAGAAAATAGATTTAAGCGATAGTGATACACGGGTTTTAAAATTAATGAAAAGCTTTTCAGAAGGCAGACAGACTATCCTGCCCATTTTAAAGGTGCCAGTCTGCCATTTGGCTAGGGATTCACCAATGCCGGTTTGACATAAATATTCTTGAATTGCTTGACACCTCGAAGTTGATCGCTGCAAAAATCCACAATCAGTTTCCTTGTGCCTGCTCTTTGAGGGGTGAGTTTAATTCTTATCTCTCCCAATTGTTTGGAAAGTAGCTTTTTGGACCTGAAACAGGAGATGAAAAATAAAGTATCAGCACTGCCGATGTTCTCATCTTCAAGCAGATGCCAGCCCAGCCCGATTGGGAGCACTCTCATTTCTGAGTCAAACAACAACAATAAATTACAAACTACATTTGCATAGTGCCTTCCAGGTCAGGAGGACGTCCCAAGGCTGCAAGTTCAAGCCTCTGAGTCAAACGTTTATGAATTCAAGCCTTACATCGGGATTTTGAGCTCATAGACCCATAGAAATTTCTCGTGCATTTGCTATTGTGCATTATCATGTCGGAAAGACATATCAAAGCACTTCACAGGATTTACTGTGAAATGGAGTGACAACGTATTTATAGACAAATACAGCAGCTCAATCACGCACAACAATGTCCCAATGTATTATTTTGCGGGATCGTAGGCCAGGACACAGGGATAAACTCCCTTGAGTTTTTCAATAGTGCCATGGGATCTTTAACGTCCACCTGAACCAATAGACAGATCCTCGATTTAACATTTCATCCATAGGCCAACCCTCTAACAATGCAAAACACGCCAAGCACTGTATTGCAGTGTCAGCTGAGACTTAATTGCAGTGAATGCAAATTGTCCATCAGATTTGCCTGCGGATGCACAGTCACTACACTTCACAGAAAACTTTAAGACATTACAAGGCATTACGAAAAATACAAGGATTGTTACAATTCTAAAAAAAATCAAAATCTTCCTCCATACACATCATGGAAACCAGATGGGCAAACTGACACATATTCCACTCAGATATCGATAACTGTGGCTTCTACTTACATGTCTGGCATATCCTGAATAGATTTATCGCCAATTCCCTCCACGTAGAAGGTACAATTAGTCAGCGTAATCGGCAGAGGGTTCGTAAAGCTGATCGTAGCACAAATTTCTTTGAATTGTATTGGCTCACCGAGGATCTGGGAAAACAAAGATAAATGGTCATAATCATCGCCTCTTGCTAGAATTTATACTTTTTGTATAATGTTAGAATCATAATAGATGTTGCGAACGGGTTAACTTTTAAGTTAAGTGTTGGGGGGCAACTGGACTGACAGTCATGGGGGAGGACTCATCTGGTTTTCTCTGTTTTTGAAAGAATAACGGACAGGGGCAGGGGGTCACCTCTTATCAGTAAATGACAACAAGCCCACAGAGGTAACGGTCCAAGGTACCAGTCGACACAGGATCTCGACTGAGCAATAAGTCGCTAGATTCTGACAGGGCCTGCCAACCGGAATTGTATTGGCTCACCATAGAACTGGGAAAACAAAGATAAATTGTCTTAATCATCAACTTTGTGACTACATTTTTTACATAGTTCATACCCAACTGTCTCCCAAAACTTGGTTCTCGTATGAGGTCATGAAGGTCCGTCCTCATCCAAAATTCTCGTGAGAATCCATTGTATCAGTGCTTTCTAAGCCAATAGAGCCTGTTTCCATGTTTACTGTCTGGGCTGACAATGCATTCACCTTTCACTTCATAGAATCCTTCATATCATGAGGATGACTCAAAGAGCTTTGCCCAATAGGCTGGATACCCGAGGGAGGGAAGCAGGGTTGGAAGAGAGGTGCGTCGGGAGAGAGGAATGTGCCATTCTTTGGTTAAACTCAGATTCTGTTAGCTCATATGGGTGTTAAGAGAGAAGAGACTTTCGTCCCATGACCTGACCAACAATCATCTGGATGAAATTCGGCATTCAAATCATGGCTGTTTGGGTAGCACTGCTGTATGCAAATTGCCTGCCGAGTTTGTCTAGAAAGATCCAGTCACTACACTCTACAGGGAATTTTAGTAAAGCACTGTTTGACTTTTTAGATATTATATTAAATGCAAAGATTGTTATTCTTAATCATCATAATTCCTCAAATTCTGATTGTTTGGGGATAACTGCATGGAAATAAGTCTTAGGAGCTGTGTAATGTATCACATTGGTCACAAAGCTGCATACAGCATTTGATGTCTGATTGATCAATGATTTTGCATGTGGAGGGCAGATTGATCTGGAAGGAGGAGGTCTTATCAGTCTTAATATTTCAGAGCGATTGTTACCTGAATGCCTATCTTTGGGTTCTTGAGCGAAATCACTTTTCTTGTTATATACATCGCTGAATTTTCATCCACTGCAACTGCTGATATCATAATAAGTAATTGTGCAGAAATCGACTTGCTGTATTCATTGTACAGCACCTTCAGGTTAAAAATCATATCTAAAAGAATCAGCGATAAGTTTGATTGAAACTTTTCATTTAACCTTGCACACAAATACTCTCATTACAATCCCACTGGCACACCACACAGCACTCAGTCAACGGGACTCTTGACTCATAGAGGACTTGTTATCTATGTGGCATGATTGGAACATCTGCTTCCTCTGTGAAATCAGAGGCAGATGTAATCACAGTCTGAGTTGATGCTCCAATGCATTGCTGGGGAAACACTGGCTTTTTGGAGATGGCAATCTTTGGAAGAGTCGTTAAACAGAGGTCCTGTTTACCTGATCAGTTGGACATTAAAGATTTGAAAAGAGTATGGAATAACTCTTGATGTCCTGGCCAACAATCAATCACCTGGATAAAATTGGTCAATTGCATCATGGCTGATTGAGGGACATTGCTGTGTATAAATTGGTTGCCATTCTACAGTCAATACATCTTAAAGTAAAATCCTTAGAAGGGCTTTGGAGATGTGATAAGGAGCCATATCAAATGCAAATTATGTTTTAAATTGTGCATATTTGTGAATGTTTTTGTTCTCTTTTTACAGCAAGCTGGTCAAACATTTGGCAAATTTAAGTCAACACATAACAACATTTTTTAAAATGGGAAACATCAAATTCAGGATGTGAGTGGTTCAAAAATAATCCTTGATTATAGTCCTTAGATTTGATGTAGCACCTTTTCACATCTTCGACAAGTTTCAAAGCAATTCAGCAACAACAAAAACTTGCACTAATAAAGCGGCCTCCACGCAAGGTAGCGTCTCAGGGCACTTAACAGAACATACTGTAAAGTGAATTAATTGACTGTATATTTTGTGGACGAAACGACCGAGTGTCCCACAAACAACCATGGATTGAGTGACCATATATAAAATATATATAATCAACTGATGTCCTTGAAGCTGAGTTCCCAAAGACATATGAAGCCTCCTACGGGAATCTGAGGTAGCTTTTCTTCACATTCAAATTTCCTTTTTCTCTCCTTATTTCCAGAAAATTATATCCAAACCTACCACAGCATGTCACATTTTTGAAGTATAATTAACCAGTAAATACACCACTACAATACTCATGTCAAACCAGCATCTATTCCCCCATCCTTTTCCATTCTTAAAGTACACATATTATTTACATTGGCACATTACCTTTCTTTGGACCAATTGGCAAGTTAGATTCATTTTTCTTGCCACATTTCTTCAATATTTCACCATTGTACAAGATGGTGTGCGCAGTAATCATTATGTCGCAATATTTTTCCTTTGTGGCCTTGTTTGAGAGGTATATCTCAATGTCAAGATCGGAACCATTCATGTGTTTTATGGGAGTTATCACTTTCAGATATATTTCTTTATCCACAGGTTCAATGTTTATTCTCTCAATATTTGCATTGTTGTAAGTTTGCCTTTCCTCTGCGGAGCCTTAAGATTAAAGGACAGAGGAATATGTTAGCCCAGTAGATGTTGTTTTAAAAGTGAACAACACAAGCTTCAATTTGCACTTTGCACATTCTGACATGAAAGACACTATATAAATGTATTATAACTGTCTTCTACGCTTTGTAAAATAAATACTCCCATTTGAGTAACCAGTTATAAGTTTACTGAAAACAATACAAATATTTGTATTCTATTTTTCAAAGTTTCATGCCAACACAGACCCCTCCTTTCTCATCCCTCCTTACCCTCAGGACATTTGTAAAAAATGGTGATATCCACACGTTCATCATTCTTCACACCTTTTGTGCTGATGAACTTGCCGATTATGCTAGTGTTCACACTGATTTTCCTCAATTTTTTAGCTTCATCCAAACACCATGAAACATGATCTGCATTCACTTCACTGAAAACAAACTTAGTATCATATTTCTCATTGATGTGTCCATTTTTGATGGCTTTGATGGAGGTTGGGCCGCAGCAGTAGATACCTGAATCAAAACCAAGTGAATATTAACAAAATGCCAACTCCACGATAAGTGGACATCAAAGTATGTTTGATATCAAGGTTTTAGAGCATTTTTTAAAACATTTTTCATGTTAAAGGCTTGTTAAATAAGTATCATTCGGATGAATGTGGAGTCCAGCAGCGACGTGGCAAACAAGAGGACCTGGATTCGAGCACCAGGGTCACTCAATCCACAACTGTTTATAGGACACTGCTGTGTGCAATTGGTTGCCACGTTTCGCCCACAATATACACAGTGAATTCACATTACAGTATATTCAGTCAAGTGCTTTGAGACGTCTTGAAGACGTGATAAGGCACTATATTAAATATAAGGTTTCTTCTTATTATGCATTATTCTCACATTGTTAGCAAAGCAATACTGTGGATACTCTTTGTCAAAATCATCAGCTGTGACAAATGCACCAAATGATGATCTACAATTGTTTTATTCATGACAACTACTTAATAAAAAACTATGGAAAACCTCTGGCTCCAGTTCTCAAAGGCACCAATATTTTTCCTAGGTGAATATATTTCGCCAAGCGCATAACATTACAGAGCTCTCACAATTCAGAGTGCCCATAAATACCCCCAAGCTATCCATCTTTACCTTCACTTTTCTCCTGTGGAGTTGCATCCAGTACTTGCCATCCATCAAACTCTGGTTTCAGATCACATCGTTTCATCCAACATTCAGTCCAGCAGTGAAAATTCCTTCCACATTAAAGAGAACAGTTGGAATGAACAATTCTTAATTTCTTGGCTGAAGTACAAAATTAGTGTTTGAAGCAACCTCTCTGAGCAGGATTGTTGGCCTATTAACAATGAAATGTAACTTGTGCTTTACTCGCGCAGGAAAGTTACATGCAATAAAGCAGGAAAATTAAAAGATAGAATTGGTCATCCACTTCAAGGCTGTTAGTGCGACATTGTTGGGTTTGCCTTCAAAGACACAGTCAACACACTTTACGATAAATCTTGAAGTGCTTTGCCACATCTAAACGATGTGTGTTAAGGCGTTTTATCAAATTCCTTAGTAAATTCCTTGCTAAATTAAAGTTACATATACTAAGAAAGCAAAATTACCATATCAAGTCTCTTGATGCACCAGGAATTTTTTTTCCTTTCATATCCACAATGCACTCGATTTCCAGATTTGCATTTGTGTCATGAGCAGAGTTGAAGTTTGTAATGGGGCGACTAGGAATCCCCAAACAACGGAAAACTGGAAGAAATCACAAGTACAAGATAGCATTCCGCACAAGTGAAATTTGATGTTATTCATTCAGGCCACCTGTGACCAACAATTTTAAAACCTAAACCATGGAAACAGAAGATAATTGAATGTGCAAAAAGTGCCCTTATTTCCCTACGTACCAGTACAGGCTACTGCTGCAAATACCCAACACTGGCCATAGCGAACAGCTTGGAAACCACTTTCATGCCACTGCTGAAGGATTGAAGTACTTCCATTCCATAGCAAAGGATTCACGCCATCGGGGTAGGTCGAAGACCATCTGCCGAGCAATATTCCTTTATCGTCTTCAGAATTAATCTACACATACATTAAAAAAAGAAAGAACCATTATAATGCAGGGCAGTAACACAGACAAGAAACAAACAAAGACTGAAGTATATGGTTGCAGGGCTCCATTGGGAATTGCCCTTTACAATCCTAAACATGTGTCCTCTTGTTCTTCTCTTCTGGAGCACTCAAATGTTTTGAGTGGTCAGTCATACTTACACTTATTGAATGGGAAATAAAATAGGGGATTTATCCTGGAAAACCATAATCCTTGACATAACCGTAATTTCAATCCTAAATTATCACGTTACTCACACCAATAGCAACAATATGATTTCAGCACTTACCATCGCTGTCACAACCCTGCTGACATAAACCGGTTTGTTCCTTTTCGAATAGTCCTTGGCTGGATTTGCCAGGAAATTGTTGCTTTGATCCAGTATGGCCAGACAAATATCGAGAATATCTTTGTCATACTGAAAGTGAGTTGAAAAAAACACAGTGACAATACATGCTCATTCTGAATTTGTAAATGTCAGCTTGGTTTCTTGTAGTCAATTTCAGAAAACACATACTTGATCCAACATCACGCTCTACGGCATCAAAAATACCACAGCAGAACAACGTTTAGCTGAATACTGATTACCCACTGGTTGGTTTATTCCGGCCTCTTAGTAACCTAGTGTGCTCTCGCACAGCTTCACACATGCGCACAATCACTGCAGCAAAATTAAGCTTTATATTTGACTTAATACTTTTATGCAGTGAAAAGAGAGAGACATAGATGTAGAGAGAGAGATAAGCAGAGTGGGAGTGCAAGAGCGAGAAGGGCTAGCACTGTGGGACAGTCCAGTGACAATTCAACTGCTAATGTAGCAATCTGTGTTAGTTGTTATTGCAAACAATTTCTATTTTGTTCTCCAATTATCTGCATTGTTTGCTTCACCTCAAAGCAGCTTTAGTTTGGATAAATCATCTCTCTACAAAATACTTTTGCATTCAACAATGTTAACAAAAAATTGAGACAGCTTGCTAGTACCTGCCCAAAATGCCAAGCTAAAGTTTTGATGAACATCTTGACCCCCTGATATAACAATCCTTGATCACTCTGAACGTACTCTTTCAGGTCTCGCTTGTTGTCCATGAAGACGTCATCATCTGAAACAAATCAAACTATTTTATTCGTGCCAAGATAAATGGTAACTGCAGCATTACTCTGGTATTGAAAACAACAAACCCAAAGCAGATGTTAGAATCTCAGCTGCCTTTATTACACAGACTCGTACTGTGTAAAATTGATGCGACTCATCATGTTTCTAATGGTTTTGCCCTGTGCAAATCTTCTGTAAGCAATGGCGTTATCATGTGCTGGTTGAAAGCTGTGATGAATTTCCTGTTGCACAGTTATAAAGAGAAATCATATTCGAAGCACCATTTAAAGTTCACTATGGATGGTGAACTTTACATCCAAAAAGCTGACATTTTCAACACTGACAGAGGTCGTTCAGCCCATTCAGTGTTTGTGTCATTGCTAACTATTTTATCCAAATTGCCCTTGATTATTAAACCCACTTTCCATCACTTGCCCCAGAACTACTGCAAAATACTGCAGATGCCAGAAATCTGAAAAGGAGTTGTATGGAGACCATTCATTTGAGTTGGAGAGATGCATAGGGCAATATGAGAAATACGGGGAAGTTTAAATTTTAGTATCATTCCTACTTTGCAACTCAAAGTAGTTCAAGGAGAAAACTCATATCCAGCTCCTCTCTGCCCAGTAGATCATAATAAATAATAATACTATTTTATTTTATATAATGCACTTTAATCAGCAACTGTGCTACACTGGCTATATTGCCATGTCCACAGTGGCACCATTTCACGACCATGTCTGTCAACACTTAACAGCCAACCACTTGATGTACGTTGTGTTCAGTAAAATGAGTTGTGGGTAGAATAGGTCTGTGATATCCAGAAACAAGAACAAAAAAATGCCCCTAACTCCCATTGCTCAGCCAAGAGAATTGTGACCCTTATACTTGATTAACATTTTTTAATAGCAAGAGTTTCACTTGAAGGAACTGTACCTTCACACCATGGATTGAAGAGCAGGACAAACTTTCCCATCTCAGCAGTTGCAGATTTCCCGTCACTCGAGATCTTGCATTTTAGGCTGTAGTGACCAATAATGGAGTTGGCAGGTGGCAAGATTATAACGGACAATTCACTTCCACTGTTCTTGTGAACAGAAGCACTCCATTCATTCTTCCTTAACTGGTCCGCCAGCTCAAACTCGATCATTGGTCCTATATCAGTCACACCTGAAAGGCAATATAGCAGAAATAAACATAACCAGTGACATTCTGGAGATCTCGTGCAACTCACATATTGTGTATGCTGATTTATTCGAGTCACCGGGAAGTTTCACAGTTAATAATGATAATAATAATCCTTAGATTTGATATTGCACCTTTCTCATCAGGAGATGTCCCAAAGCACTTCACAGGATGGCACCTCCAATAATACAGCACATGTCACACCCCAACTACTGTATTGGTGAGTCAGTTTAGACTACATCAGTAGGGCTTAAACTTATAACGTTATGATTCAGAGGTGATTGCTACCAACTGAGCCAGACTGACACCTGGTTCATGGATATCATAGGAATTTTGTCCTTACATTGTAACTATTACATACATCCCTCACCCCACTTTATTCTGATTCCACTAATGTGACTCCACTGTTCACGCACACTTTTAGCACGTTCATTACTTCAAGTCCCAAGCAGGACAAATAGGACAACAGACATTATCCTATTAATTAACAACATCAATACCACAGACAAGGTCATCTCGGACCACTTCCTCATCTCCCTCTTCTCCCACATTCGCCTCCCCTCTTACAAGCCCTAATCCATTTTTCTCCACCCCTGGAAAAAGTTTCCCCTGAGTCCATCACAAATGCCCTCTCTTCCTTTTACCTCTTCTCCCTCCAGCCTTCCACGCGCAGAGATCCTGAAGCAACCATCAAGCTGCTGAATGACCATCTCTCCACAACCTTCAATTCCCTGGTTCCCCTGAAATCTAAGGCTGTTTCCAAACCCCTGGTACAAGAGTCATCTCCATTCACTCAAAAAACAAACACAGACTCTCGAGTGCAGGTGGCAGAAATCCCCCTCATCATTCACCGTCACCTTTACCTCTGCACCTACCGCCTCTCTCTTTCACAGGACAAACCTGACTTTTACTCCACGAGAAACACACGACTTACACACACAAACTTATCATCACCATATGAGTAACATTAGCCAAAGCAATCGGTTCCTTCATTTCTCTGTAGATGCGTTCTTACCTGTCTTCACAATGAAGGTGATTTTGTCAGTTTCCTTGTCATAATTCCGACCATCAAAATACAAGGTAATGCTTATTTCCTTTCCTCGTCTGATGATCAGTCTCTCCTTGCCAAACTTATTAGTTTTGTGCTGAACATTATTTTGCTCAAAGTGAAAATCAATTTTGGACAATTCCAAAACTAGAAAAGGAGCAAATCGGTTATCAACAAGACACATGTTCAACGCATTGTAAATAGTCTATTCCCCAATGTCAAAGCTAATTTTCTTTTCAAACTAAGTTCATACTCTCAACTTTGTGTGCAATTGAACTTTGGTGCGGTATAACTTTCTTTTTTAGCAATGCATTTAGATTTAAAACATAAACTGCACGGCAAGAATATTGAATTCATTTCCTTGTTTGCAAATTGATTTAATTCACCCAAAACTTTTTTTAAAAAAGCGCTAAACAAAATTCCCTTCTATCTTTCATTCATGTGACTCTTCACTGATTGAACTGATGCATTCTCTCCCCCTCCCTTATTAAGGTCAATAAATAACATTAATCCACCGCCTTCCATTTAACTATTTTGTTTCTGTAGTTAAAAGGTTATACTCACCATTTGCCATTTTCACTCTGAGATCGATTTCCGTTATCGGCTCGGATTCAATAACTCTCTCCCTCTCACAAACACACTCTCATCGTGTGTGGCTGTATCTCCTCCAAAATTCAGTTTGTAGACTTTATACTTTAAATCCAGGAAGTCACGCCCAGAAACTTGTGAATGAGTAGGTGCAAAATATACAAAATAAGTTGTTTTAGGGATTGGGACATTAGGATGGGTGAAGTTTCATGTGGAATATAAACACAGTCAGCAACTGTATGTTATTCTTTGAAACTGCTTTTTTGAGGTAGACAAAGACAAAATTGAGCAACCAAACATGAGGGGACTAAATATTCCTATTACCGGCTTTCCTCAATCTGCAGAGCACAAGTTGTTCTTTCATCCCCACAGCAAAATAAACTCTTAAAATGTAAATCATAATGTAAATGAACGGAAATATTGTTAATCAAAACAGTAACACAAATCTGAGAACCTCAAACACTATTCTCATTATCATTCAATGAGATCTTCCAATAATATAAATCTACCTCAGCATTTGCTTCAGCCACTGACTTTTTGCCCACGGGACATACAGTCACTGCACTTAATAGTGTTTCCTGTGAAGCGCTTTGGAACATCTTCCTGGTTTGAAGGTGCTATAACAAATGTAAGGATTATAGAATTATTATCATTAAAATCATATGAGAATGGCAGAACTGTGATGTACCATACGTGGAACTCATTTTGATTCTACTCCTACAAAGAGAAACTTGACAAAGACCTCAATCAGCAATGAATGTGTGAAACCCATCTTCTCAGAGAGTAGCTACAGAAACAAATCCCTGAATCTCTCTCGTTGTACTTTTTGCACTTCACAATCCTCCACCAATTTGATGAGCGTAATGAACTCATATCCTTTCTATAATTAGAATAAAATTCACACCTGCATTGAACCAAATGAAGAAAAAGCCACGCAGCCTTTCTCTGCTGATAAAATACTGTTTAAATTGAACTGCAAAACCCATTGTGAATGAGAATTAGAATTGAGGAATTAGCCTCAGCGCAGTTTGCCAATTAGAAAGGAAAACCTAATCAGAGAACTATTGCGAGGAAGGCATATCCTTCTTAACCCACACTATCAGCTGTTGCCAAAATGCTCTGCTCCCTGAATTACCCAATTGCGTTTGGAGAAATCAGTTCAAAAAATGCACCAGTAGAGAATGCAAAGCAACACAACAATACAATACAAAATTACATTTGTAAAGCGCCTTTCAGGTCAGAGATTAGAACACGAGCCGGGAGGGGATTTGGGATTAGAGCAGGTGGAGGGCAAACAGTGACATACAATGAGTTTGATGTCCATTGACACAGTTGGGGAAGTAAAATGCTGGTTATTAGATTGAAGGTGGGGGAGAGAATTCTAAATTTAAATTTCCCAACTCTGTAGAGCTTGATATGGTCTCCCAATTACCGAAAGAACAATTGTCCCCAAAGCTGTGTTTGTGTTTTTTTTACAGATTGGGCTAACGTGGAGATTCACAGCAACCTGCAATCATATAACACCCATCATGTAGAGTAACGTCTCAGAGCGTCAGGAGGATGTCCCAAGGTGCTGGACAGTCAGGGACCTGCTCCTGAGGTGGTGGTTAGGATCAGGAGGGGTGAAGGGCTGGGAGGGTAAGATGGCTTGGGAGAGGAGAGGGGAAGTTACCGAAGGCCTGGGTGAAGATTTTATACTTGATGGAAATGGATTTGTGTCCGAGCTCTGTTCAATAGCATCTTTTTATAGTACCACACAAGAAAGAATTGACATAAATTTCAAGAATTGACCAAATTCTGAACATTCTAAAATCTCTGAAATGGAAAGAGTAAATCTGGACTCAGAAGGAATTTGTAGTTTATAATTTGGAGAAAGGAATTTGAAAGCTAATTATGATGGATATCCAATTTTTCTCACTCTGGCTGCTACAATCATTCAGGTGTGTATATTTTCTTCATTGTGGATAGTGGCTGAATGTTTGATAGACTCTAGTAGTTGAGGACACTGTTGATGATTGACCAGCCTGCCTGGCAGGAGTAAGCATGTCACTGGGGTTGGCATTTGTCCTTGTCAGCAGTTACATAGGAAACGACCAACATTAATGGACTAAATTGATAGATATGGGTGAGTCTGAAGAACTACTAGTTCTATTCATTGGTAAGGACTAGTAGTTCTAAAGATTTATTTATTCATTCTTCAAGAATAATATATTAATAATCCTTGCATTTGATATAACGCTTTTCACATCTTCTCGACGTCTCAAAGCGCTTCACAGAATAGAGTGTAAAGTGAATTGACTGTATAACTCGTGGGCGAAATGCGGCAGCCAATTGCGCACAGCAGTGTCCCACAAACAGCCGTGGATTGAAAATGACCAATTTATTATTGTTTTTTTTGGAGGGATTATTATTAGGCGTGTGGAGTAAGGAAACTTGCCCAAGGTTTCGCCCCCTGCCTGGAATTGAACCAGGTGTCTCGCTTGCAAGGCGAGTGCTCTAACCACTGAGCTACAGGACTCCACATGGGTCCAATGATAACACACACATGATAAAATGTCAGCAGATGATAGCAATTACTCAAGCGCACTAGCATTGAATAATCATAATGGAGTTCGTAATAGCAAAATCATTCAAAGTTCAGTAAAACTCTCACAATTGCCAATTGTACCCGGGCAATAAAGAGAAGAGAGTCAGACAGGAGAGTATTGAAGAAAAGAATCATAGGTTGCAACAAAGCAAAATGGAGGGAAGAGAAGTGCATTTTATTTTGACAAGAATTCCGGGAGAACCGTCCTGTTCTTTTCAAAAAGTGCCATGAGTTCTTTAATTTCCATCTAAATAGTCAGAAGGACCTCAGTTTAACATCTTATCCAAAGGCACTGAAGATACACAGGCACTACAGTTTACAATAAGTTTACTTTGAGATGTTTCAAAGTCGCAGGCGCAGTATCTGTTATGTACAAGGGTTATTATTAAGTCACAGCACAAAGTCTCTCCGCACACTTCCTGCAATGCTGTGATGATGGGACAGTAGGGAGTTGTTCTGTGAAACGTAAAACAGGCACAAATCTACAGCTACAGTATAAACAGGATTTAGAGCATGCCCAGCATCCCCCCAACAATCTGACCAATTCCTGGAACATGGTTTACATCTTTCGCAGTTAATAACATACACGTATGTTTGAGTGAGCTCTTGCCTTCAGACAATGTGACAATGTTCTAGCTCAGGTCAGGTACCTTTGAGGACAATAATAACACAACAGGATTGAGTACTTCCTCACACAGAAGTCACAGTTCCATTCTAATTCCAAGGCTTTTTATGAAGATTTTGAAGACTGAATTGGTTGGTGTTTTTTCCAATGAATTTCTATTAACGGAGTTCACAGACATTCACAGGGTTTCACGGTGTGCCTTTCATACAACTACTTTAATGAAAAAGAATAACCATTACAGGTAGAGGTGTTGTTACTTCAGCTCTTTTCAAGCGGGGTTTGGGGAGGTTTTTGAAAAGGCTGAGAATTTAAGACTTCAGTTGCTGGCATCATCCCATGTGAAAATCAAGATGATATGATTGCAATTTCACCATAAATATCATGAAGTCTTGAAAATAGTTTCAGATTTAAAATATGATAGTGTTTTTGCTATAATCAATAACAGCATTCCAGTAATATATTTGTTAGGGTTTAAGTGTAATATTTTCCCCAGCAGTTTCCTCTCATACCATTGTTTTCAGGAGTGTGCGCGCGCAAAAAAAAAAAAAAAGCTCTGCACCCCCCACCCCCCAGGGACCCACCATGGTCCTGTTGAGTTGGCTGCCCCAGCCCCAGCCTATGGGATAATGTTTCCATCCACCTGAACGCTCACTCCCGGTCCCCGCGTGTGCACTATGGCTGCCGCTATGACCCGAGCCCCCTCACCCCCTCCCTCCCTCCTCCCTCCTCTCAACCCCCAAACCCTCCCCTTCTGCATCTCTCCCGCTCTGTTCTCCTCTCTCTCCGTCCCTCTCGTCTTCTATCCCCACTTGACCCTCCCACAACCTCCCTCTGTTCCAGCCTGGGAATCCTCCGCCGGGCTCACCGTGGCACTCGGCGTTGGCTGTCCAGCAGCAGCCACACCGACTGCCCCATTCCCCACCACACTCGCCACCCACCCCGGACACAGACCCGGGGAGCCAACCTCTCCTCCCTCATCCCCATTTCTCCCACCCCTGTCCCACAATCTGGAATCCCCTCCCTCCCCACACACCCTTCTGTCAACCGCTCCCTCCGCATTGGACTACAAAACGTCCGCTCCTTCTGTAACAAGGCCCTGGTCATCAACGATCTCATCCTTGATGAGAACGTTGACATCATGGCCTTAACGGAAACCTGGCTCACCCCAGGCGACACCTTCCCCCTCACGGAGGCCACACCACCCGGCTACACCTCCCACCACATCCCTCGCCCCAACCGCCGTGGCGGTGGTGTAGCCCTTATCTCAACGACACCACTTGCCCTATCCCCCTACTCCTCTGGCTCTTTCCCCTCTTTTGAGCACCTCACCCTCTCCCACCCCTCCTTCCTCTTGCTCAAAATCCTCCTCCTCTACCGGCCCCCTAAAACCTCTCCCACCTTCATCTCCGATATTTCGACACTTCTTACATCTCTCTGCCTCTGCTCTGATCGCTTCATCATCCTGGACGACTTTAACCTGCACTTCACCCCCTCCTGAGTCTCCTACTCTCGCTCCTCCCCCTGGTTCACCAATCACATCCGGTCACTGAAGAGCCAGGTGCGGGCCGCTGAACGCACCTGCGTCAAATCTGGTCTAACGGTCCACCGACAAATCTGGCTGGACCTCCTCAAAATCTACCACTCCACTCTAGCCTCGGCCAAATCGTCCTTCAGCCTCTCAGCCCCTAGGCTCTGGAACTCTATGCCCCAGTGCCTTCGCCTTGCCTCCTCCCTTTCCTCCTTCAAGGCCGGTCTCAAGACCTTTCTCTTTGAC